ACACTATTACATCGTAACAAACGACCGTAGTAATACACTATTATATCGTAACAAACGACCGTAGTAATACACTATTATATCGTAACAAACGACCGTAGTAATACACTATTATATCGTAACAAACAACTGTAGTAATACACTGTTACATCGTAACAAACGACCGTAGTAATACACTATTATATCGTAACAAACAACCGTAATAATACAGTTTTACATCGTAACAAACAACCGTAGTAATACCTTACTACGTCGTAACAAACAACCGTAGTAATACAGTGTTACATCGTAACAAACAACAGTAGTAATATAGTGTTACATCGCAACAAACAACCGTAGTAATACCTTACTACGTCGTAACAAACAACCGTAGTAATACAGTGTTACATCGTAACAAACAACCGTAGTAATACAGTGCTACATCGTAACAAACAACCGTAGTAATACAGTGCTACATCGTAACAAACAACCGTAGTAATACAGTGTTACATCGTAACAAACAACCGTAGTAATACAGTGTTACATCGTAACAAACAACCGTAGTAATACAGTGTTACATCGTAACAAACAACAGTAGTAATATAGTGTTACATCGCAACAAACAACCGTAGTAATACAGTGTTACATCGTAACAAACAACCGTAGTAATACCTTACTATGTCGTAACAAACAACCGTAGTAATACAGTGTTACATCGTAACAAACAACAGTAGTAATACAGTGTTACATCGTAACAAACAACAGTAGTAATACAGTGTTACATCGCAACAAACAACCGTAGTAATACAGTGTTACATCGTAACAAACAACCGTAGTAATACAGTGTTACATCGTAACAAACGACCGTAGTAATACACTATTATATCGTAACAAACAACCGTAATAATACAGTTTTACATCGTAACAAACAACCGTAGTAATACAGTGTTACATCGTAACAAACAACCGTAGTAATACAGTGTTACATCGTAACAAACAACAGTAGTAGTACAGCTTTACATAGGATGCGCCGGTTGAACAGAAATGTCATGGAAGGTACTTGTGTACAAGATATTTGTGTCACTTTTCCAGACGAAATTCCTTCTTGCCTTTGACGTGTACTGTTACCTGTTACACTACTTTTCCTGAATGGTCCTGATCTCCCAAATATTACTTTCTTTTCCAATGCCATAAGAACAAAGTATATATCCGCATGGAAGTTATAAATCCCCGATCTAGTCATCTTTACTTTTAGACTTGGTAGGTATTTAGGTTAGTAATATATCACTTCTATATATATAGAAATATAACTAGGGGCGGTCAGAGACATTTGTTTCTCTTCACCCCACTCTATATTTAGAAATAGGTTGTCGAGGCTTTTAAGTGTTAAACGCTTACGTAGGTGAAGGAATTGGCTTGTAGTTGCTGAACGGGTAATTTTCACATTAGTGAACTCACAAGTGGCGGGAAAAGCCGTAGGGAGACGTGGAGAAGAAGAAAAAGACGGATATACATAACAAATCATGGACATTTAGCATGTTAAAATGTGTAAAAATATATACATATATGTACACAAATACTAATGTA